CCAATGCAATTTCAATTATAGTTAGTCACTTAGAACGTTTTAACTTGCATAATATTTGTTTGTATGTAAATTTTATGGACTGGTTTTTAAAATCTTTTGGTTTGTAAGAAAAAGATAAATATCCTTACTCAAAGATCAATTACATATATGTTAATGTTGCGATTAAAAAATTACTTGACATTTGTACTTATATATATAATTATATTCTTTCCTTACTTCTCTCGTGGGAAAGTATTATTATTTGATTGAGACTCCACATTATTTTTGGAGTTACGTAACAATAATCACTGTTTTCCACAATTTGCTTTTTACCTCGAAAATAACCTAATTTTCTTCGATACCTCTCATCGTGAGTAACATGTTACAATTTCACCAAACCTCAAAAAATTGTGTGGATCTTGATCATGGATTATTTTAATTAGAAAAATTATATATCTATCGTTAAAAAAAGATTTGGAATAATACGCGTAGACAACGAGTAATGTATCCACAATTAGTTCACTAATCACATTCACAAAACGAAAGGAGTGGGACCCATCATTACAAATACTTTAACCAAATCAAACGGTGTAGAAAATAGTTGTGTCCATGATCGTCGTCATTACGGCCGGTGACTTCACAAACCATTTTTATTTTTCTTCTCTTTGTTTGATATACGAAAATATATTAATTTACCAACGTCATGCTATCTCATACTTTAGAATATGTTTAACTTTTAAACCTAATCTTATTAACCTAGTCTTATCTTTGATTAAAAGTATATATTTAAATTTAAAGCTTTGAAAAGTGAAAAGAAAAAACAAATATTTTCCTTCTTCTTTTTAAGTCTTTGTTGGTTTAACACTTGAATTTACATTTTATTAAGAAAACTGTCCCTGGAAAATACGAAAATGTATCTACTTAATGTAAAACATAGAAATGAGATTGAGCATTCAATTTTTGATTTTCTGATATAATCTTGCAAAGATTCAGCTGTAACCAAAATCCAAAATGAATTTTTTCTAAAGTTAAATAAAAAAATTCCAGTTCACAAATTTAAATCTGATTGTATATAATTATAAGGATTTTCTATAGATTTGTTATCTTGTGATTATTAATAGTGTTGTCATTATTTTAAAAATTAATTATCTTGGTTGGAATATCACAGGAAGAAAAGTCTATAGTCAACTAGAAGGAACCATGATGCACAAGCAAATGATATTCGTCCAGCCCCCATGGTCACTTTCTAACCATTAGAGGTTTATTTCTATAAACTATTAATATTAAATCTCTTGTTTTATTGAAAAAATGCTAAAAACATATATTCTGTACATGGCGTTTGGTGCGGTTTAGACGCTCTGAATCACAATTAAAATAGCTGAAATTAGTTAATCTTTATATATCATTTTGATTTCTTACTTTATTTTTCGAAATAACCTTCCATAATTTGGCAATTTATTTGTCCTATATCTTATTTATAAAACAGCTGAAATTAGTTAATTTTTGTTTGTCATTTTAACTTATGACTTATTTTTTTACCATCAAAGATTATTCGAAAAATAACCATCTATATTTTATTTTGAAAATAGCTGAAATTAGTTAACTTTTGTATGTCATTTTAAGTTATTTCTTATAATTTTCTAACCAATACAGGTTATTTTCCATATAACCATCCATAATTTGCGATTTGCTACTATATATCATTTTGAGAAAAGCTGAAATTAGTTCATTTTGGTATGTCATTTTCATTTTTTGTTATCAATTTATCATTTGATATTAATAATTAGTAAATCAACCATGTGTGATATAGTTGGACCAAATGTTCCACCGTAACCATTTATGCTCCTAATTTATTTCTTAAAATTAAATTAAATTATCCCTTTTATTTTAAGTAACTTAGTAATTAAAAAAAAATCTCAAACTAAAGTTAAAAACATTAAAGAACATTAAAAGTATTACCATAAACAAAATTAATAATATAAAAAAAGCTAAGTAAAGAGAAGAGGAAGCTGAAACATTAACTTCATAAAAAGCCATTTTACATACACAAAAAAAAAACACTCTCTCTCTAAACCTCACAACTTTCTCTCTCTTCCCCTTTTTCACAGCCATTTGTTAGATTCCTCTCTCAATGGTCTCTTCTCTTTTCTTTTGGATTGTGTATTTAGACTGATTAGCTCAAGAAAACCCAGAAAACGAAAAAACAAAAAAAAAACTCTGAAATTTTTTCATCTTTCTTTTGATTCAGATTTTTAATTTTCTGGGTTGTTCTTGTTTTAATTTCTCTGTTGAGGTTTTTCTCTAAGTTTTTATTGGTTTCTGT